TGACTGTGTATGGAGAAAAGTTTTTTCCTTCCAGGAATTATACTAGATTGTTCTATTAGATTAGCAATGAATTAACATTAATCTCTGGAACCCCAAATGCCACTGTGGCCCACATCAGTCAAAGTGAGGTCATGTGTTGGTAAAGAAATATGTGGAAATTTAAATCAAGTACATCTTACAGTATTATGGGAATAAATATATTTAGTAATGTGGGAAAATCTTTACATTGGTTTCCTGACACATGGTGAAAAAGTTATTAATATTATAAAGAACCAAGAATAATGCTATACAATAAAAATATGATTGTGATTCAGATATGTAATTTTAAATTTTCTAGTAGTCATCTTTTAAAAAGTAGAATACATTTTATTTCATCAACAACATATCAACATGTGGCACTAGCCACGTTTAGGTACTTAATAGCCACATGTGGCTACCATATTGGACAGCATACCCCTAACAACTATTACCTGTTTCAAGATACCAAACTAGAAGAAATAATAAATATCTGAGTGAATTACAGATAACAGTGAGACTATCAGAAACTGAGAAATATTGGGGTGGTAATTCACCCTATGTATCCATTTAAAATGTTTGATAGGCTAATGGACAATCTTGACAGTCCTATGGATAAATACATATTTAATAACATCATAATGCAAATTGCAGATACAGCTCTAGCTATAGAATCTTCACTGGAGCATATTAACTTAGTCCCTGACACCAGGCATGAAGCTACTGATTTGAATTCTTTTTAAAGTAATTCCTATCAACAGAGATAATCAGAAGCAGTTTGCCTTTACATTGCAGGGACAGCATACTTTCACTATCTTACCTTAAGGCTACGTCAACTCTCCTCTCTGTCATTATATAGTCTGGAGAAATCTTGTTCATCTTGACATCCCACAAAACTTCAAGCTGGAATATTACATTCATGACATTACACTGATAGGACTTGGTGAGCAGGAAGTAGTAAACATCCAAGAGATATGCTAGAGAATGGAAGATAAACTCCAAGGAAGTTCAGGGACTTTCAACACTAGTGAAATTTTATGGGTCCAGTGGTCTGGACATGCTGAAATAGATCCTCTATAGTAAATGATAAATTGCTGCACCTTGTACCTTCCATCATGAAGAATGAGGCACAAAAGTGGTGGCCTCTTTAGAATTTGGAAGCAACATAGACCACATTTTGGTATGCTGCTCTCAGGCATGTGCTAGGTAATCCACAAAGCTGACTATTTTGAGAGGAGCCTGGGGCAAGAAAAAGACCTGCAGCATATCCCTGCTGTGATGAAAGCTGCCCTAAACCTTTGGCTCTAAGATCCAGCAGCTGCAGTGACTTTTGGTAATGTCTGTGGGAAACAGAGATGCTGTGTAACATCTCTGTTAATGGAAGCCTCAGTATGCAGATCCCTAGTGGTTTTGTAATAAAGACATGCAATCTTCTACCAATAACTATTCTCCAATTGAAAAGTAGCTCTTAACTTGCTATTGGACTATGGTTAAGACTGAGTGCCAGGTCACAAGCCTCAAATGATTATTGGCACAAACTACACATCAAGAGCTAGGTGTTATCTGATTCAACATATCATAAAGTAATATGTGTACAATAACATTTCGTTGTTAAATGAAACTGGGACCAAGTAGGTTGGGGATGCCTAAATATACTGCATGAGCAAGTAGCTCAGGTGTCCCTGATATCTGTTACTTCTGTTTCACCATCTGGTTCCTTCAACTTTCACCTATGGCTTCACGGGTGTTCTTAATGACCAAGTAATGAAGGAAGAAACAGTGTAGATCTAGTTGGTAAAATGGGTTGTGCAGTGCTTGGTACCAGCTGTGACTAAGGAGGCTGGCCCTAATATACAGTGGTAAAATGATATCCCCCATCAGCCAGAATTTCAGCTAGTGCATTTGACTGTCCATTTTGCAGGGAAGAAGATATAACTGAGGTAATGATATATGGCATGGCTGTATGGTCAAGGACTTAAAGAACAAAATTGGAATATTGGTGACAGAAGGTCTAGGAGAGAGTTATGTGAATGTACCTTTAAGAATTGGTACAAAATGTGATGATATGGTATCCTATGTGGATTCCCTCTAGTGGGAATTCCACAGTAGAGAAGGCTTTTAGTAATCTGGAAAAGGTTATGGATCTTATGGCAGTCAGATCTTTACTTGGCTAACCTGGAACTTGCTCAACAGGCCAATGTACAAAGTGATAATGGGAGCAGGGATGGAAACTGTGAATGAATTCAACTACACGGACTTCCTCCCCTCCATGACTAATTTAAATACCACCACTGCTGAGCTCACAATTTTCCCATGCTGAGACCCTGATATGGCACCACTATCCAGGAAAACCAATCAGGTGGTGGAAGGTAGGTTGCATTTGACTCCTTCCCACGTGAAAGAGGCTGAGATTTATTCTAATACAAATTGACAGATTTTCAGGATATGTATGTGCCTTCCCTTCCCGCTCAATACTTTTGCAAGCTCCTTCATGCATGGGTTTAACAGAATGCCTTACCAATTGCCAGAGTATTCTTACAACACTGGCATCAGCCAGGATACTTATCTCAATAGCAAAGAAAATACAGTTGACACAAATGTATAGAATTTACTGGTCATACTTCATGCCCAGACTCAGCTGGTTAAATGGAGTAGTGAAATGGCCTACCAATGGAGTGGTTCATGTATGGTTGCCAGTTGGGAGAAGTTAGGGTGTGTTCTACAGGATATAATATATGGCCAGTCATCTCCTCCATAGCAAGAATGCATGAGTATGGGAACAAAGAGGTTATGGTAGAAGTGGCCAACCTAGTACATCAAATAACCCATTTAAAGAATTTTTAATCTGTCCTGAAACCTTCAGATTGGTGGTTTTGGAAATCTCTGATACAAAAGGAAAAATGTTTTCACCAGGGTTCAGAGTTCTAGTTCTGTTATATTGGAAGCCAGGAATATTCGCTGACTATTTTGGCTATCTCAAGCTGCTGAATTTACAGTGACTGGCAGATAATTTCGCCAGACTATCAGGATGATTGTGGGTTGTTGCTATATAATGGGGGCAAGGAGAACTATGTTTTGAACTCAGGAGATTCAATGGGGCATCTCTTTAAAAATACCTGTCCAATAATTTTGTTCATTAAACAAATGCAGTAATCCAAGAAAGACAGGAACACCAAAGACTCAGAACTTATAGAAATTAAGGTTTGGATCACCTATTAGATGAAAAACTTAATCTACCAGGTGCTAAACAGAGGGTAAGAGTAAGGAAAAATGGAACTGAATGGATGAAGAAAGCAATACTGACCAATTTTAAGCTTTCTGGCCAATTAGAGAAGCATGGACTTTAACAGCTGTTTTATGTTCCACCTATTATGAAGAACATTAGTTATGGCTAATATTTTAGATCTCAATTAGAAGTAGGAATGAATTTGATGGGACCTCTTGATGATGCATTAGCCAGATGCCCCTTCCCTAATAGACACTCCCTTAAGCTCTAATCACCCAATTTGACTATTATCTGTTTATATATCTGCAAAAATCATGACATGGTAAACTAAGTAGAAAAATCAGCACAAAACAGTTACAAGGACTATATTTTTTAAATGAAGATAAAGTAATATTTATACACAAAACCATGATATCAAAAGCAACACAATTTTGAAAAGAATGAAGTAGATGTTTAAAGTTATCTATTGCATATAGTTTAGGCAAAAATATATATTCATGAACATCTATGTGTTATATGATCCTTGGGGAACTCAATCATACTTTAATATGGCTGACTAAAGGAAATACCTATCATATCTTAAAAATATTGTTCAAAAATTAATTTTCATAATAAAATCATGCCACTTTAAGATATGTTTCATAACATAATTTTAAAATAAAACATAAAATGTTATAGTTGGATGTTAATGAATTAGTTTAAGTGAGGGAGGAAAGAAAAATGTATACTTAGAATATTTTGTTTAATGTTCGTTTTTTGTAATTACTCCAAATTTAAGAGTTAATGTTTAAAGTAGTTTTATGTAATTCACATTCATGTTAAAAAAAACTCAGTCCTTAAAGATTAACAGGAAAAATGCAAAGAAAGATAACACAACATGCATTACCTCACAACCTTAGCACTCTCTAATGTAATTTATCAATGCAGGTGAAAATATTACTTTAATTATATCTTCATAATAAATTAAAAATTTAGTACATCATTATGGACAGAAGGAGCAAATAAAACTGGCTTAAGAGTGTTATATATTAATTTTCCACCTTTAACATTTTGGTTATGGCAATTCATGCTAAAAGTCAAATGAGATTCATTTGGATTTCTGATCATTCTTTTATGCACTATATTCTGGCATGTTTGAAAAAAATCAAACTTATTCTAGATTTTTAAATGATTTATGAAGCAGAAATAATGTCCAATGACTATAGTTTGAGAACTAAAGATACAAAGAGGATTAAAATAGAGTATAAAATATCCTAACAGCCAATTTTCTAATGAGTATAATAACTTGAAGTTTAAAAATAACAATATTTGATTTTCTCACTGAGGTCCCAGCCTAAATATTCTATTATTTAAAAAACAAACAAAAGAACCCTATAGTTTTCATCTCCTCTGTAGTAAATTCAGAATGTAACTGTAATATTTTACTGGATCTTCAATTATCCTGGATTCATCATCATTGCTGCATTAATATAAAATTTAAAAATAGAAAATTTATATTACAGCTGTTTTTCTTATTCCAATATCTTGAGATAAGATATTCTTTAGTTGACGGTACTCCTTTTTTCCAAGTCTTTAAGTCTAAAGAAGGACCGTATGCTTCCTGCAGATTCATCAATTATTTAACGTACACAAATAAAAATATTGCCTAGGTCTTTCCTAGGTACACGCCAAAGCTATAAATTACTTTTGTATTATTCTATAGCACTCTTCCACATTTTCACATTTTAGCTTTCTTCTCAAAGAGGCTGGTGTCACTTACCAGAGTGGGTCCTGAGGTGTCCTGTGAGGGCGTCCCTTCTTCTACAGGCGTAGCTACAGAAAGGACATTTGAACGGCTTCTCTCCAGAGTGTAACTTTATGTGTCTCAGAAGGTTGCCCTTCTGAGTAAAAGAAGCTCCACACTGGTTACAGTGGAAGGGGCGTTCACCTGTGGCAAGGAACAGAAGTGGGAAAGATCAAGTAGGTTATGTGCACGTAACTAATTGGCCATTCTCTGTTAACCAGAGCTAGTTCGCTATGTGAAGAAAGTTCATCTCCCTCATAAGTCTTCTAAACATTTATCTTCCTAGAATTTGCTTTGCCAACACAGTACCAAGGTGCCAAGCATTAGGCCAAATGGCCATTTCCCCTCTTCATATACATTTGATAAGATTCCTGTCATTGACTCAAAAGAATAAAAACAGCATTTACCATTGGTTAAACTAGGTGTCATCACTTTACTGCCTTACTGGTTGCTTTACATATAATATCTCAATCCTCACAATGACACTAATAGGTATTATTAATTTCAATTTACAAATAAATTAAAGTTCACTTGAGAATGTATGTGATTACAATAACAGTGCTAGTAAGTACTCAAGCTGAGAACTGAACTGGTTTGCCTGACTACAAAATCTTATTGTCTTTATTTTACCATGCCATCTCTTTAAAATTCAAAGGAATTCTGGGTTGAAAGGGATCTTGAGTTTAACTCCCTCGGTAAGCTGATAAGGAAAATGGGGGCAAAAAAAGTTACAGCAAATTAACCAGCTTATAAAGCTCACTACCACAAGATCTCCAAACATAAGCCAGGTCTCTTGATTCTCCTGGTCACTAATAGTAATATCTTAGGCAATTTCCTGAGACATCAGGTAAAACCCTAAGAAAATTATTTATCCTGACATTTTTTGTATGTTCTCTTTATTTTGTGAAAATTATTTGCTTCATAGGAATCTTTTCTCCCTTTTCTCCTATTACTGAGGTTGCTATAAAATTGGTTAAGCCTCAATTATCAATTCAGTCTGTTGTCATCAACTGGCTGTCACCAATGTCAAACATAAAAACATGTATGTAGATAATGAAGCAGTAAAATTGGCAAGTAGGGTCAAACTGATAAAATCATTAAACCCGGAAGAAAATACTATTATTTTAAGTTGTCTATCTCTAAAGAGAGATATGAAATAAAATATAATGTATAAATAAATAATAAAATGTTACATACTAAAGCTAAATGTTTAGAATAAAAATAAAATTAAAAAACATTTCCCTTTACATTGAACTGGATCATTTCTGTACCTAAGTTAGGTGATTATAATTTTAATAGTTTTTCAAGAAATTTACACTGAATTGTCATGTTTCATGTGTTTAAGAAACATTAATATCAATGGTTAATAATAAAACTTAGTATTTTTTTGACCTTTGATATAATGCAAACTCAACGATTCTTTAATTAAAGAAAGCTAGGAGGTATAAACAAGATCACTGCAATCACTTTTTGGCAGCACATCTGCAAAGACTATTATATGTATGTTATTAAACTTAGAGAAACTGAAAAATTGATAGATCAGATGTACCTCAAATTCTGTAGTACCTACTCCTTCTGAAACTTAGTCATACCAAAAAAGTGTAAATGGTGTGTGTGGTGAAGGTTAAGGTTTTTTCTTAAGAAATCTGGAGCTCTCATGAACTACATCTACAAGAGGTCCTATATATTGATGTATTGGTTTGAAAAAAATTATCAGGTTAAAGTTACCTTAAATTGTATTTTCCTTAACTAGTTTTAATTTGGTAAAACCTAAAACCCCTTATACAAAGTCTTACAAAATAATCAGAGTTTTTAAATAAATCTAATTTTTGCAGATACATTTTATTTTTCACACACATATGCAACTTAATTTTTGATTCTTTAACAGTTTACAAGTTTTTAAAATAATAATATTCTACTGTCCCTCCCTGCCATGGAATTGCATAGTAATAAAGGGAAAAACAGAAGCATTTCCTGCACAAGTTGACTTTTTAAAGAAAGAGAAAAATAACAAATATAAATTATACTTTTCACTCCAAATCTTTGATTTGACTTTTAGATCCTCTCTATGTAAGGTTTCCCAGGCAAGTAACAAATTAGAATGCAATAACTTTACAAAGGAATTAAACTAGTGAGTGTAGTGAACAAAAAATTTGAAATCATGTTTGTCTTTAGAAAATACTCCTATAGCATGCTTAGATTTTCTTTAAGCCTCCTATAATCTTTGAGTTGAAATATTTTTAAAAAACCTAGTTTAGAGTAGTTAATTCATTGTTCAAAATAATGCTAATCTAAAAAAGAAAAAAATAACGGGTATAAATCTTTTAAAAAAATTTTTAATCTACCTAATTAAGTTTAATGAGACTAATGACAGGGTAATTTAGTTTTAAAATTTACAACATACTCCAGATACTTTCAATTTTTTAATAAGAAATTACTTCTGAATGTACATGATCATCCTCAAATGAAGTAGAAGGAATGAAAGGTGCTCTAGGTATATCTGGAAATATTGTCCTGTTGCTGTGTTGAAGTTGTAGTGTAGAGGCCTTTAGTAAGTAACCATGGCCAAAAGTAAGAACAAGGCATGATGAAAGTAACCAGTCATGCTCCTCTTTTGGTAAGAGAAAAGGGATACTGACTTTCATTTCAACCAGATAAGGCTTTGAGAAATACTGACTTGAATTATGAATAATTCTTCATAGATGTTTTTTACTTTTGGATACTAATTCTATGGCTTTCCTCATTTTAGGTCTAAATCTGCTTAACTCCTCTTAATGTCTTGATTATATGAAACAATAATCACTTCAACAATACAGTTGTTTTATTATGTTTCACATTAATGTTGGAATTACAGTGAAACCCTCAATAACACTACTGTTGGAAATCAGGATGAAAACAGGGTAACTTAGATTGCTTTTGTGTATACATAATTATATTTCAGGAATCACCCAAATGTGGGAGTCATATCTGTTTAGTAACAAATAAAAAGTGAATTAATTCAATTTTTGTAAAAGTCATTTCTGTAAAACATCAGCAAACCTTTTATTTGATGTGGCCTATTTCCTGTCCTAGGCATTACAGAGACATGTATAAAATCATCTTATAAGTAAAAGGTTCAGTTAATTACCATTTGTCTAGGCAAATGGCAGGCATGCAAAAAACTCCTTATTGTCTATGCAACTTTAAACAAAACATCTCAATTATTTCTTTTTAATAATTTGTTCCTTAAACTAAATGGATTGAATCGGCCTTTTGAGAGTCAGTTTAGACCCTGAAAAAATATTAATCATGTTCTTTATATGTAAATCAAAGCAAATTTTAAGAAAACCTCACAAAGTTACTAACTGTATCAATGATATTACAGAGTAATCTAAGTTGAAAAAATTAAATAAGTTGTTGTGTTTGTAATCACTGATCTTTCCACTGGTGGGTACAACAATCTTGACTAACAATTCGGGATCCAGGAGAACAATTAAGATAGGGTCAAGGTATTTTTCATGTCCATTCTCAATCTGTTGTGTATTTTTTAAACATAGTCTACCAATCTTCTGGTTATTTTTAGTTATTAACTGAATGATGTTATATATTATTTTTATTATGGAACAAATTATATTTTGATAGTTTATATTCTAGATCTGTGTTTAAATATTTAGTTGAAATGTAAATGATAGGTACATCAATTTGTGTTGGTGAATCAAAGACAGGGTGCTACTGTGTTGGATGGGACAACCACCTACCAATATGCAAAATCTCAAAGAACCTGATGAGAGAGCCTTGGAGCAAGAGAATGGCTCCACAAGGCTGCAATGTGCAAAATATGGTGTTGAAATGTAGTTACAGAGATGGGAGTACTCTACCCACAAGGAGGGGCAAAATTAAGGATATGATCATAATGTTCCCATCAATTTGTTTTCATGCATGAATTGATTTACTATCCATAGTTATTTACTTCTCTCTATATTCCCAGTGAAGAGTGCCTGGAGTATCCGATGACAATATTACCTGATTACTTACTAAAGTAGGAATACCAAAGAAATAACATCAAGCCATTTATAAGACACTGGAATTGGCACTTTAGTAGAGTATGAAAGAGGGAGAAGAACACAAGACGTACATTAGATCTAATACTCCATGTTGTTGTAATGAATTGGGTGGTTGTGCATCTTTTTTCACTATGATTTTCATATTATATATTCTACAGGATAAAAACACTAAAAAATATGTTTCCCAAAGGCTTTATGCCTTTGATATAAGCTTTTATATAAGCTATAAATAATTTGGTAAGAGTGGGAAATTCTAAAATGAAGACGGTACGTGGTGTTAAGAGAAAAAAACATTTGGTTAATGACTTGATTCTGACTACATTTTTCTCAATCTAGTTTAAATTAAAGAAACACAAGTAAACCTTCTATTCTCAAATAGTGTTAAAGTGGAGTCGCAAAAAAAAAAAAGTCAGGACCCACTCAGGTATATAAACAGGATCATCATAAATAAATGTTAAAATGGCTAGTTTAGAGATACATTCACAATTTTAAAGTCAACAAAGCATAGTAGATATCCGAAGTTCTTCCATGAATAGCTATTAGCTTTAACAAAAATCTTTCAGATCTGAAGGAAGTGTAATAGTTGGCACAATATTCCAATAAACACTGATTAACAAAAAAAAAGTTCATATGTTGCAAGTGTACTTTAAATAGTTGTTTTAGTTCATACTCTTTGGGCTTTACTAGTCTTATATTCCTAGGACTTGTGGAAATCTATATTACTATTTCTAAACATTTTTCATGCCAAATATATTATTTTCCAAATTAAAATAATTTAACTCTACCACCATAGTCCATACCAAATGGACAGTAGAGTAGGTATATAATTACTATTGTATTTACACACGAACGAACATCACTGTAGATACAGTGAAACATTCATAAACCTAAATTTTCAAGAAAGGATACTCTGGTTCATGGAAATTTCTTAACTTAGAACATAAAAGGTTTATTGAAAATCTTCAAAAATTGTTTTTAGTATATTCCTCAGTCTTAAAATTAGCACTATATGCAATTTAAGTGAAAAGTCATTAGATTGATTTTGCTTAGTTTGTATTTTAATAGGAGAAGTTACACATTTGAATGAGTGCTATCTTAATATAATCACTCTGACACAATGAATACATTATAGCTTTGTGGAACTTGCTTTTCAAAACTGTAGTTAGAATTACTTCATAAGCATAGATGAAAAGTAGATTATTTAATAGCCATTTCCCTTTTGTCTTATCAAATAGATACAAAGATTGATCTTTTATCCTTTCCTAAGATATTTTTTAAAATTAAAGAAAAAATTTGTACTCATAAATATTTTAAAAATATGACATTTTTTTAAAAAGAAATTTAAAAAATAACCAAAAAGCAAAATGTAACTGACCTTATGGTTAGAATAAGTATATATGTTCTAAAGCTGATGATTTTGATTATGATAACACTAATTTTAATATGTAACTTCTCACTATAATTTTTAAAATATTAGCCTAGGTCATACATGATAATAAATTATTGGTATACTGATATCCAAGATTAGTGTATTTGAACAAAACCAATCTGAGCATCAGAAAGCCTTGGTTCCAACCTCTGTAATGCCCATACCTACATAAGGGATAATGGACAAATCACTTGACTTTTTCTTCAAGTACAAAATGAGAGGTTTGGACTAAAAAAGACTTCAACATACCTTGTATCTTTCATGTTTGAAGCACCTAATTATTAAACTGATTGTTTAGAAATAAAACTTTAAAATAAATTTCTTTATTGTGATTTCTCTTCCAAAAGAATATATTTTAAAACTGAGAATATTAGTTATTAATATTTTACTATATACTACTACTTTGCATTGTAGTGAAAGCTACCATTTCCTTCAAACTAATTTTTATATGAGCTTGACACTTTCTTTTAAGAATCAACAATCTTCCTATCTTGCCACAATCTCATTTCTGTCATTTTTGTTGCTTTTTTTTTTTTAATTTTGGCAAAGGATTTTAAGAAATTTAAATAAGGCTTCTCATTTGGTGGGTTTTCCTGAAGGAGTTTCCACCTCTCAAATGCCTAAAAGTATATATTAAATTAATCTGAGGGTTTTTTCCTAACTCTAATCCGTGATTACACATTTCCACTTGCATGCCCGCCACCCTTTTTCATCTTCAACCCCACATGTCTCCTTCCAGGAATTATAGCCAAAAATTACAGGAAGGTAATAACATCCCCGAACTACAAAAACTACCTGCCTACTACCAAGACCTGTTTTAAGCAAAGATTGATTAGAAATTCTATTCCAAGGAGTTAACTTGATAAAGTGAAAATGATTCACTCCTATATAAATGCATGAGTGCCATTTTGTAGTATAAACTCTTAGCTACTAAACTATATTACCTGCCCATGGGTATGGTAAAATATGTATAGAAATACAAAAAGATTAAGTTACACAATGAAATTCTCCTATACCTTGTGAACCCTTATCATATTATTGCTATATTAAGAACTGTGGAAACTGAATCCCAAACTTCTTTTCTGATATGTTATTCAGATTTGAAGGCTGGAAGTCAAGACCCAGGCTACTCTCTGTTTTTCTGCAATCCAATACTAGCAGAATTCTGAAAAGGTAGTTTCACCATTGCCACCCCTGAATAAAAAGGAAAGAGAATAGATGTCAGGTAATATCAACATCAGATGTCACAGGCAGTCATCAGGTTATTCTTTCAGCTGCTTACCAGTGTGACTCCTTTTATGTACCATAAGCACATTGGGCCCAATGCAAACCATGCCACAGACGTCACATTTCAGTTTACCATTCGGAAGCCGGATTCCTCCCTCGCCTTGAAGCTCCTGGACTTTCCTGTTGTCAGCCACCTCGCTGCTCTCAATTAGGGGTTCTTCTAGGCTGCTACCCTCATCATGGCCCCTGATCTCGTCTTCGCGGCTCAGGGGTTTCCTGTCACACTCTTCATCACTCTGCATTTCTACCTTTACTGAATTTGCTGTAATTTCAAAAGAAAAAAGCAATTTTAAGTACACATTATGTGCTCTCACCTACATCTCTTTTCCACCCATTGCTATTCTACTAAATGGGTGAAAGGAATATATTAAGTAGAATACAGTCCCTCACCAAATGCCATGTTAATACATAGTGTGTGCTCTATGATATTTTAGTGAAAAGGCATGAAAGGATGATTCTGGAAAGCTCTAGGTAAACAGAATGACCCTTTATTTCTGTACATATTTATTTCTTTAACTCAGGTAATTACTTTCTAAGCAAATCTTTAAATAATTCTGGTGTTTGAGTTTGTCACTAAGGCTACTACAGCTAAAATAGGATTATGGAAGATACACGATTAAATATTGCTTAACTCACTGAGTTATGCCTCCTCTTAATTTAACAATCAGTATATATACTTTATACTCTCTGTTTCACATCAGAGTACTTGTGTAAACCTGCTTCTGAACAAAGCAAGAGAAACAACTCAGGATCTTAATCCAGCAAATGTCTTTGACATTTGAAGGCACACTGTCATGGCATATGTTCTAAAATCAGACTAAATACATATATCCTGTTAAGAGCCCTATAAAAGTAGGGCAGGGGGCACAGACTTCACATGCTCTTAAGTTATTCTGCTTTTTTCCCCCATATTTAAAGAAAGTCTCTATGGAACATATTAGTCTGCAAATCAAAGTATTCTAACTCTAATCTATGCAGACCAAACAGCAGCTAATGACAGGAACGGCACAGCATGCAAGTACACACTTGCGACTGTTAAGAAATTTAATGCCTTCTGTTTGCTGTTTTTGGATCATCCCACAGAAAAGTTGGAATTTTGTTAGCACAGCCCTCATTCTGGATTGCTGACAGTCTTTTCACAAAGCAGAAGCAAGCTTTAACTGAATATCAGTATTTTATCCAGTAATCTTGAAAATTTCTTAAGAAATCATATCAAAGTTACTGAGCAAAACAAGTTATTTGGTACTACTTGAATAGAGGAAATATTTTCATAAAAAGGAAGTAAGTTCTTTTCACTGCTATTGTTTTCTTAGAGAAACCACACATTCAGTGATTTGTCATTAGTACTTATCGCTAGACAGAGGGCTTTAAAATGCCTCTTCCCCTGCTCCTCTCCTGAATTAGAGGCAGTGCGGTTCAAGAGTACTAGCAGTACAATCTTGAGCTAATTATTCTCTTAATCTTACATGTTTGGTTTGTAAAGTGAAGATGAATTCAGATTACTGAATAAAGTTTGAGCAGGATAGTTTATCTGTTTAGAGTGATGAACTTAAGTTCTTAAGCATCTTAAAGAACTTCAGTTTACTATGTCATCTCTAAAATGTGGATGATAATGGTACCCCTTTCCTAGGGTTCATGTGAGCATTAAATAAGTAAATATCAGAAATGTGCTTATCTATTCTTTTTCTCTGGACATATAGTGCTCTATATCATAAGGTTTTTGTGAAAATCAATTAACTTTTAGTTTGTAAACTAATCTAACATCTACAAAGGGTTATACATCCTTCCTGGACCCATCTCTAAGAGTAGATACTACACTGAGTTTCACCCTATTAATGAATCTGCACTGCCTTACTGATTATAGAAAACAGTAGGGACAACTTTTTACCCATTTTTATATCCCCAGCATGTTCAAGAAGTTTGCGATATATAGGAGATGTTCAAGCAGTATTCACTGAGATGTTTTACTAAGTTGATTAAGAATTTTATTATTTTAAGCTTGTTTTATATGTCTAAAGAAGCCATGGACATAATAAAGAAGAATTAAACAACATAAAAGATAAAAAATAAACATTAATGGCCAGGTGTAGTGGCTCACACCTGTAATCCTAGCACTCTGGGAGTCTGAGACTGGAGGCCAGGAGTCTGAGACCAGCCCAAGCAAGAGCAAGAAGCCTGTCTACACAGAAAAACAGAAAAATTAGCCAAGCATGGTGGTGCATGCCTGTAGTTTCAGCTATTCGGGAGGCTAAGGCAGGAGAATTGCTTGAGCCCAGGAGTTTGAGGTTGCAGTGAGCTATGATGACAGCACCGCACTCTAGCCAGGGCAATAGAGCTAGACTGCCTCAAAAAACAAAAAAAAAAACAAATAAAAAAGGCCTTTTCTACCTAACGCTCACAATTTCTCAGTCCCTATTTCAAAAGTAACCATACTATTATAATTTCAAATTCCAAAGCATGTCTAAATCCAAATTTTATAAATGTACCATAATTTGTCATTCAGACCCTATTGCTGGAAATTTAAGATTATTTCTTGTTTGCTGCTGTTACAGACATTATTTTATAATACATAGAACTGTCAATCTGATATGTTAATACTGGTATTTTATTAGTTTTTAATATGCATTTTTAAATTGTGAATGCAGTTGGGCATCTTTTTCTATGTTTAAATGTTCTTTATTTTTTCTGAGAATTATCAAAGTTGTTTGCCTGTTTTCCTAATAGGTTATTGATCTTTTCTCACTGAATTTAAACACACTTTTTATACTAACGAACTTATAGCACTGTGTTTACTATATGTTTTGCAAATAGTTTCATTTATCTTTTTAATCAAGGGTATTTTTTGGCATACATGCTAATTTCACATGTTAAATTTTTTAAGTTTGCAATTATGGCTTCTGGGTTCTATATCTTGCTTCAATAGGTTTTTCATACTCCAAGAAATTCTTCCATGATTTTTTCTGGTAAGGAAGACTTTTCTAACCAATGCAAAATGGTACTGGTTACCCTATATAGCTACATATTTCATTCATAATTGTCATTTAAAATAAAAATTAATGAAAAGCATAATTTTATGCAATATGACTTTACACCAACCTGTGAAAAAATTTTTCCACATATTGATTTCAAGCAATGTACTAAAGACCAGAAGCTTCACAGCAATGCCATCATTTATATTCCTGAGTTAGTCAATATTTGATAAGATATACTTAATGAGCATAAGGTCTATTGGAATTCCATTTCAGGAACTGAAGAAATAAATACCTAAAGGAGTAGTTTTTGAGTCTAAAACTATGGGCTTCACAGATTTAAAGATAGCACAGAATTAAAAAGAATATGATTAACATTACAATATTATCATTTCTCCCTAGTGAGATTATTATAATAGGGACATTAAAACATAGTATCAACCATTGATTAAAATGTCATTTTTAAAAAGCAGTACATATTACAAATGTAGTTAGGACTTTCTATCCACAGAAAAATATGCATGAAATAACTATAGAAAAAAAAAATTTTTGCTAAAATGGAAATAGACAAGAAATGGTAACACTATGGTAATCTTTTCTCTAACAATACTATACTCTAAAGAATTATGTGTTTATCATGTATGAATGTACACCCTTTTGCTGTACTGATGTAGCAAATCAAAGTGCAACTCCTTCTAATATACATGTCATAGATTAAATTTTGTACAGGGGCCTATGTACAAAGTCTCACAGTAATTAATTTTTAACCCATCTCACTAAAATTAGGCTGAAATTCTAGAAAAAGTAATTAATTATTCTTTAAGTTTTAATTATTAAATAGAAAAGTTTTCTCAAGCTCTCCCATGATTTATTTTTACTATTTAAGATGTTTCTAATTAACATGGAACACCTAACATTTTAATGATTAAATGCAAGTGTTTGGTAACTTAAGTGTGTTCTAAATTATGATTTATATATTAATAAAAGTTATATTATACTGTAGCTATAATATATGAAGTTATAACTAATGAATTATAATTAATCATTGTACAATAATTTTAACAGGACTTTTGTTTTCAAATCTTTGAAATTAGATTTTTGATTTCTTTTACAATTTGTTAACAGGAAGACATTCTTATAAATGGGCTATGAAGATGAGAACATATTCATTTGAGTGAAATGAAATCTTGCTGTTAGTATTCTCAACACCAAGAGTTATTTTTCAAGCTTGTTTCTTTGATAAGAAATGAAGAATGTAAAACTCAAGACTATCCTGTGGAAATTTACACAAATTATTACCTACTGACAAATAATAATGGCTTAAATGAAAAAGTATTTTGCCAGAACAAATTATTAGCAATGAAAAGGGAATGTGAAATAAGATTTTAGGTTTGATGGTAAAGATGTTTCTTAAGTTGTAAGGGAACTTCTACTTAAAATTTATGGCTAATTGTTATATCTATTTTTCTAGTAGATCCTGAGGTTTGTGAACACAGAAAGGTTAAGTTAATACAAAAGACTTTTATGACCAAGTGTATATGGAAAAAGCTTTGAATATATTTCAGGATAAAAAGTTCCTCATAATTTTCTAAGAATTATTTTATAATGCAAACATACTTATGAATGCAAACCTTTTTTTTCTCTTTATGCTTTCAAATTACTGTTAGCAAACATTAGAATTTAATCTTACAGATGTGATAAAAACACATAGCTTAATCACTTCCATTTACAAATGACTGTACCAATGACAAGAAGTAAAGGGACTCATTTGGAGCTCTTTTTAAAGTGACTTTCAGGCCAATTTTCAATTATAAAAGTTTATTCAGTAACCATAGGGAGGTTCTCTTCACTCAAAAGCTTCATAATTATCATTGTTTCCAGATACAGAATAGCAAATGAACAGTTATACTAGACTTGCCTTTAACTCACTAATATGGCAAAGAATAAAAGGATAATTGAATATAAGCTTTTACTCAAGTAAACAGATATAGATCACTGTAAAAAAAAAAAAAAGGTATGATCTAAAACCAAATGGGGCAAAACTATTTTGTGAAACTATTAAAAATAATTAATTCAATCTATACCATAATGAAGATTTTCTTTGCTACAACTATTATACTTCAAAAGTTAAAAAATGAAAACCTGAATTTCATTTATATATGAAATGAGAAATAAAACGTACAATAGTGTTACATACACTTGTAGACCCTATACTTATAGAACCCACCCATTTCAACCAATAAGAAATAAAGACAACACTGAATTCTCTGTAAAAATCACGGAATCAGAATAT